TATAAAAAAGGATGAGTTCATGTCCTTTGTAGGGACATGGATGAAGCTGGAAACCATCATTCTCAGCAAACTATCGCAAGGACAGAAAACCAAACAACGCATGTTCTCACTCATAGGTGGGAATTGAACAATGAGAACCCTTGGACACAGGAAGGGGAACATCACACACCAGGGCCTGTGGTGGGGTAGGGGGAGGGGGAGGAATAGCATTAGGAGATATACCTAATGTAAATGACGAGTTAATGGGTGCAGCACACCAACATGGCACATGTATACATATGTAACAAACTTGCAAGTTGTGCACATGTACCTTAGAACATAAAGTATAATAAAAAATAAAAGTAAAATAAAAAAAAAGAAACCCCGTCTCTACTAAAAATACAAAAATTAGCCGGGTGTGGTGGCGCATGCCTCTAATTCCAGCTACTCGGGAGGCTGAGGCAGGAGAATCACTTGAACCCGGGAGGCCAAGGTTGTGGTGAGCTGAGATCGTGCCATTGCACTCCAGCCTGGGCAACAAGAGTGAAACTCTGTCTCAAAAAAAAAAAAGAGAGAGAGAGCCTGCGGCCCTGTTAACACCTTGATTTTAGACTTCTGGTCTCCAGACCTCTGAGAGAATAAATTCTGCTGTTTTAAGCCACCCAATGTGTGGTAATTTGTTACAGCGACCATATAAAACTAATAATTTCACTTTTGCAAAATAACTTTTCTTCATTTGTTCCTCTCTTTGATATACTTCTTAAAGGCAAGAGCTACAAACCAGTATACTAATGGACTGGGGGAAAAGCCTACCTTTCTCTCTGTCCAGTCCCCAGGGCAGGGCCTCAATTCCGTTGAAAGGGAGGGAGAATGTCAGCTTCCAAAACCTGACTGCTGCACTTCCTCTCCAGGGGAGACACCAGCAGTGAGAGGCTGAATCCGTGATTACGGACTATGCAGAAAGTGAGTCTCAAAATAAACAGCCCCTGGAGTCAAAACTCAGGGGACGATACATAGAATTTTAGAGTCTTCAGGAAAGAGAGAGAACATGTAGTTCAACTTCTTCAGGCAGTTTTTAGAGGTACAAGAAGGCAAGGAATTTTGTATATTCGCATATGTTTTTGTGTTATTGAGGACCCTGAGGGCTGGAGAGCAGAGAAATCTGTCCAGGTCACAAACTAGGGGCTGAGAGCAATTTCACCACCCAGTGCAGGAGGACTCTTCCTCCACCTCTGGGGTCCCGCCTCTGTGGTGCTGCCCCCAGAATGGTCTCACTCACTTAGGTCTTTCATAAGCCCTCAGCTCTCCTGGTCTGGGGACCCCACTCCATGTCATGTTAAACATCTTAAAATGCATGCTTATCTCATATCAAATGTAATTTTTTCTCTTTAAAAATCTCATAGTTCTTTTATAATTTTTGCTTCTGAAAGTAATTGCCTATAAACAACTTGCTTGATTTTAGATTTTCCACAGTTTTCAGTAATCATCATACAAACCCAGGAAAATCTAGCCATAGATTATTTTCAGAAGCAATGAAATTTATATGAATGCTACATTTCATAATTAATAAGATTGGCATTATGCTTTCTGCTATACAGATTTAATCGACATTTTATTAATTTCAGGTTTGCCTTTTAGTGCTTTGATTGGGAAGTGTTTGGGGAAGCCTTCACATGAAGGATGTCAACAGGTGTTAGCAGGTAAGGTAGACAGAACTGGGTGGCAATGCCTGAAATGTCCAGCAAACATCTCAGCTTGTGGGGCTGAGTGTAGGTGAGAGAAATAGCAGAAGACAGGATTCTAAGCACTGAGCCAGGCACTACCGTATCCATAATCTCCTCTGAGACTTGAAAACCAAACTGGAGCCAGGTTACAAATGACTTCACATGCCATTCTCCCCACTGCCTGCCACTTGTACCCTGGGCAGCCATTGGGGACATTCCTGGTTCTGGATTCCTGCCTCTGAGCAGTTCTCTAAACATGGGCAGGAGGCCTGTGCTTCCCCACACCCGTTTCCATCTGTTTGTATGGCCCAGAGCCACTTGTGATAGGGCCTTCCTAGGAATAGAAGATAACACCGGCATCATTCCAGGGCCACAGTGGATGGGCTTTCCCTGCCCAGGAAATGACTGCTGCATTGATCTCTGTAACACTCAGGCCGGGGCACCCTTGTGGGGAGGATTCCAGTCTGCATTGCATCAAATACCTAGAAGAGGGAAAAGCCGTGTAAGCCAAGCATATGTTTATTTGATTGAAACGAATAACTCTCACAGGCCACAAACGAGACAGGCAGACAGATGTTTCAAGCGGCACCTCATCAGCTGATTTGAGCCATCATGCGATATCAGTGCACAGAATAATTCTGGAAAGATTCTAGGAAGGGAAGTTGGCTATCTTCTAATCTCCCTCTTTAGGATGAATTTCACAGCAACCGCTTCAGATGGTAGTAGGGACTGATTATCCCCATTTTAAACCTTAGAGCAGAAGGACCACTCCCCCAGTGATACCCACCTAGGAATGGAAGAAGCCAAGATGACCACAACCCGGGTCTTTAACCTCTGAGATCTCTTTTCATTGAGCTTGGCAGAACTGCCACTCCAAAGACTCACAGCCTCTCAAAGAATGGTGAGAGCATGTCAAAAAGACAGAGAAACTGGCTTGAAAGGGCACCTGCTGGTCAAACCTGGGACAATTTATTTATCAAAATAAATAATAATGATAATAGTTGTAACGTTTGAGTAAAATAGAAATCTGTAAGTCCACACTGATACAAACAAATACACAGAAAGAGGAGAAAGCTTTCTTTATAGTAAAATGACAACTGGTAAAAGTAGACATAATGGAATTAGAATCACCATTTAGCAACAATCATAGTGATACTCAGCCAAGAAACATCAGTAGATGTTAGAACTAGTGGGTGAATGTTTAATAAGAAATGGGAAAATTTTATACTTTCAGAGTACCTCCAGCCAAATTTTTATTAACTACAGAGGGAAAAAGAGTAATTTTACAATGAATAGTCCTGACAAATACCGCCTCAACTGAATAATCAAAGTGAATATTGGCCAGGCGTGGTGGCTCATGGTTGCAATTTCAGTGCTTTGGGAGGCCAAGACTTGTGGAGCACTTGAGCCGAGGAGTTTGATACCAGCCTGAGTGATATGGCAAAGCCCCGTCTCTACAGAAATACAAAAAGTTACCCAGGTGTGGTGGAGTGTACCTGTAGCCCCAGCTACTTGGGAGGCTGAGGTGGGAGGATCACCTGAGCCTGGGAGGTCGAGGCTGTAGGGAGCCGAGATCATGCCACTGCACTCTAGCCTAGGTGACAGAGTGAGACCCAGTCTCAAAAAAAAAAAAAAAAAAAAGCAAAATCAAAACCCCCACAGTGAACATCACCAATAATAGGTCATGTTGAAATCATGCCCTACCTGATCAGATGTCAATATCTTGTCAAAAATGCACCTCTCAATCTAATCAGGAGAAAACATTCAACAAACCCAAACTGAGAGACATTCTACAAAATAATCAGCACATCCAATCAAAAGTGTCGGTTAGGAAAGTCAAGGAAAGATTGAGGAACTCTTCTGACTGAAGGGCGCTAAAGAGACATGACGATTACATGCAACAGGTGTTCCAGGATTGGGTCCTTTTGCTACAACAAATACTATTTGAATAATTGTCAAAACTAAATGGCATCTGAGGATTAGAAGGCAGAAATGTTTTGATTTGAATTTCTTTATTTTGATGATTGCACTAGAATTATGTAGGAGAATGTCCTTGTTTGTAGGAATTACACACTCAAGTGTTTAGGTTCAGGTTAAAAAGTTCTTTGTGTATTTCTGCAGCTCTCCTGTGAGCATGTAATTATTTCAAAACAAACAAAGAAAATTCCCAGATGCGAGTGAAAGTGGGGGATATTAAACATATTTTTGTCACTTCTTCCAGGAAATAGGCTGCCTCCCTCAAGGATAGGGTAGTAACCAAGGACAAGCTGTCAGTTGAGACAGCTTGGTGTGCTTCTAGAAAGCCCTGTTTGCAACGAATGTCTGCAAATCAGTCCTACATCCCAGTAGCTTAAATTTATGAGGCTTCATTGTTTACAGTCAACCTTTAGTTAACAGCAGCTCTTTCATTTTACCTTTACATCTGACTCACTCGATGAAAAAAAACTTCTGAAAAACAAAACACTGAAGAGTTCTGAAATAGCTTCCATCCATAAGAACCTTTTAACAGATGTTTTTTTAAAAAAATACAAAATCTAAGTCCGTGATGTCAGTGCTGGTTTCCTTAAAAGAGAGAACAACTAGAAATGAATGTGCTATCATCCATCCAGCACATAAGATAAACAAAATCAGCACCAGCTTCCCACTACACAGAGCAATATACCTTCCTGTTATAGTCTTTCTCCTTGCTGTCTACTGCTTTTCTGCTAAATTCTGCTGAATTTCCAATGAAATGTTATACAGTGTATGACTCTTCTGTCTACCAATGACTGGCTCGCCCTCCCTCACTCCCTCTCTCCTTCCCTCCCTTCTTCATTGTCTTCATGCAAGTGGGGAGATCAGAAAGTGTGTTTTTCTTACAAACCTTAGGAAAACTGTAACACCTAGCAAACCTATAATTAAACTTAATATAACCTGGGAAAGGCAGAAGAAAAAGAAAATGAAGATTGTGAATCAGATGAGACAGGCAGTTAGCACGTCTCCATTTCGTTTGGGAAAGGCGAGTAAAGTCTGCAGACGTCAAGTTCTCTCTGTATGCTGTGCCTAACTTGGATCTGTATTTCAACTCTCCTTTCTCAAAGAAATGCCATGTCCTAGGGATGCTTGGAGCACTTCGACAGCATTCCACGGGAAGCTCTAATGACCCTCCATCCTCTCCAAGTAGAACAGGCTGTCTCCAACTCGCAATCTCACTATGTTCCAAAAGTTCTTTTTCCTTTCTTTTTTTTTTTTTTTCGAGACGGAGTCTTGCTCTGTCGCTCAGGCTGGAGTGCAGTGGCGTGATCTCGGCTCACTGCAACCTCCGCCTCCCGGGTTCAAATGATTCTCCTGCCTCAGCCTCCCGAGTAACTGGGACCACAGGTGTGTGCCACCATGCCTGGGTAATTTTTTGTATTTTCAGTAGAGACAGGGTTTCACTGTGTTAGCCAGGATGGTCTCGATCTCCTGACCTCATTATCTACCCGCCTTGGCCTCTCAAAGTGCTGGGATTACAGGCGTGAGCCACCGCCCCCATCCCCAAAAGTTCTTTATTTTAAAGTGTCATTTAGAGATTGGCAATAATGTTACAAATTATAATTAGATTTCCCAACTAGTCACAAAACTCCCCATAATTAGCGTATAATGTAACCAATACATACACAAGCTAATGTAACCAAGCATGTGCGCTCCCCCCCCAACACACAGCCTTCCACATACACAAAACAAAAACAATAATAGAAAAAAATGCATAGTATATCCCCTACATCACGCATCAACAAGCGTCTATGGGCTAGCCTGGGAATCTAACCAACATTTTTACATTGATTCACTAGGAAAAAGAAAATCGAATCCAATTTAGAACTCAGGCCTTTGGATACATTCCTTTCCTATCCCATAGTTCCTTCTCCCATCACATCTCACCCTGCAACCCCACGCCACCTCATCCCTGACAAGTAATGAATACCCTTCTCAGCTTCTCAGGCCAGAGCTACCTCTTGAAAAGGAAACCTCATTCCACAGAGGCCTTCACTCTACCTCACACACACACACACACACAGACATACGCACAGACACACAAACTCAGAATGACTTAAGGTGGCATTTTCAGGTGGTGACTGTGAGACAAGCATCCGTAGTTCAGAGGCTACATTAACATAAGTGATGCATGTTCACAAGCAGCCCCTTCGCTTAGAATTCTGATATGAACAAGAACATGGTGAGGGGGTCATGCTAAGCCAAGCTCTCATTCATTCCCATAGATAGAGACCCCAGGCCTATACTCAGTTTTACGATACTGTGCTGTGATTATTGTCTTGCTGTAATTTTGTTTTCTCATTTCTGGCATAATCTGTTTCATTGAATACAGAAAATATGACATGTGGGCAGAAAATGAGGCTTAAAAAGAAATTTAGGAAAGCAAATATCATTTGACATTTTGCCACTAGATACGAATTTCATTTAGGACAGGTTTCTAGTGAGACTTGGTGAAATTCTCTTGTTTAAAACATCTGTAGAATAGTCTAATTATCCTGATGATGAGGAAAAGAAACAAGAGGGAGGAGAAGACCTAAATAGCCGTTGGTACCAACTCGTTGCTGTAACCACACACAGCTATAAATTTATTAGATGTGGCACGATTTAAGTTTCAAAAAATGAAAAGAGCATTGCCAGGATGATGTCACTGAAAGTAAAAATGTCCTTGAAATTCTTATTCTGTGACAAAAAATGAGGGCAAATCTGTCTGGTATTCTCTCTCCTTGTTCTTCTTCAAGACAAAGTTTCTAAAATAATCTCAGACGTGGTGTAACATTTGCCAGACAGCTGTTCTAGGGAATGCCAAGAAGATAATCCTTGGGTCTATCATCGTCTTTTGTATTTTTTCTTCCTTCAGTACATTATGGGTTCAGGCCAGCACATAGATGCCATGTTCAGAAAGTTTAGAAAGTCTCTCTAGGGAGACTTGATGTCTCTGGAGGCCTTTTATGCCGATTTTACTGGCCTCGTTGAGAAGGCAATTTCTTGACTTCCTGGCAAAGGGATTGACCTTAACTCTGTTTCTAGAGGGCAAATGTCTGTTGAGATGAAGCCGTGGCTGAGGCTCACACTCAGGGATGCATCTGATCTGAATCCTCTCTCTCCATCCCTGAGAAAGGTCCCAAGGACGGTGAGTGAAACTCTGAACCAGGAATTATAGATTTGTTCATCTTAGAACTAGAAAAAGACCCTAGAGGACATCTAGCTTAGCACTCTCCCTTCCAACCTATTGGTGACCCCCACTGTCCAACGGAAATGAGTTTTCTAGAAAACAAAATTCTTTCTCCCAATAAACATGTTCAAAATCTCATGCATATTTTAATACTTATGACTTCATGTTTCATTTGAATGAGCGTGATGATTAAATTGGGGGCAGAGAGAAAAAGAATCTTGTGTGTTTACACAAACCTAGTATAAAATCCTGAGGTCAGCCCTTCCCTCAAATCTTCAAAACACAGTTCTCTGATGCTGCTGTTGCTTAAATCTTCGTCATTTGTCAGAGAAGAAAAAAGACTGTTACTAGAAGAGGAGACAGAGGGGCATGCACTATGGACATGGGACTGGAAAACAGACACTGATCTGAGGCAGAGGCAACGTGAGAAACATTCATAGCTGTCTTTCAGGTCCCGACAGATGGACCCAGGAAGCCAGATTTCTGGCCGTGGGGAAATTGTTCTCTTGTCACCAGGCTTTCTCCAGTTCTACCATGAAATAGGCTAGTGTATTAGTTCGTTAGCATTGCCATAACAAAAAGCCACAGACTGGATGGCTTAAACAACAAAAACTAATTTTCTCTCAGTCCTGGAGGCTGGAAGTCCAAGATCCAGGTGTCAGCAGGCTTGTTTCTTCTGAGGTCTCCGGACTTGTGACGGCCAGCTGCCTTTTTGCTGTGTCCTCACATGATCTTTCTCCCCTATGACATTTGTGGTATCTCCTTTTGTGCCCAATTTCCTCTTCTTATAAGTAAGGATGCACCCGTAGTCCCAGCTACTGGGGAGGCTGAGGCAGGAGAATCACTTGAACCTGGGAGGCAGAGGTGGCAGTGAGCCGAGATCGTGCCACTGCCCTTCAGCGTGGTGACACAGCGAGACTCCGTCTCAAAAAAATAAATAAATAAATAAGGAAGGACACCAGTCAGATTGGATGAGGGCCCACTTACATAGCCTCATTTTTCACTTATTCACTGCTTTCAAGGCCTTATCTCCGAATACAATCATATTGGGGGCACTGTGGGTCAGGGTTTCCATACATTAATTTTTAATTTTCTAATAGCCATGCTGAAAAGAAGTTTGAAAAACAAGTGGACTTAATTTTAAAATATTCTTTAACTCAATATATTCAAAATACCATCATTTCAATATGTAATCAGCATTTAAGAACTGTGAATGAGCTATTCTACATTCCCGTTGCCACACCATGTCTTCAGACGCTGGTGACTGTTTCATGCTTACGGCACATCTCAATACGTCTCAATATCTCAGGCTTATGGCCACATTCCTGGCGCTCAGCGGCCACATGTGGCTGTGCAGATGTAGGGAGTGGCCAGGTCTACGGTGGCCCAGGAGATCAACCTGTGTTCTGCTCCAGTCTGAAGTCTGAGGGTTTACTGAATGAGTAGGATGGGCCTGCAAGGAAAGAGATATCATGAGGTCCTCAAGAGCAGTCATGCCTTCTGGGGTCTTTATGGAACTCCTAGAGTGGCCTAGAGACTTGTGAATGGGGCCCTGTCACCCCGGTGCCTTTCAAAACTCCGGATCTTATGGGCTAACCAAGGATGTGGCTCAGGAGTAGAGCAGCCCAAGGAGGACATCGACCATCCTCATGCCTCTCAGCTCTGACTTGGCAAATAACCTTAAAAAGAATCCTTACCTCAGCCCTCCATTCTTCCACTGACTGGTCCAGTTATTGAAGCCCATGCTTAAATGGGCTTAAATCATCTTTGGGAGAGCCAAGCGGATGCTCATCCACCCCCATCTCAGAGCTGTGCAACCCTGTGGCCTTTTGCCCATTTTACACTGGGAGAAACATCACGTATCCAACACCACCCTCACTTTACTGATGGAGAAAGTGATACTCAGGAACTCATCACACAGCAAGTTATTGACAGAGCTAATTCTAGGACCTTGACCCCCCAGTTTTGAGTCTGGTGCTTGTGCAGTCTGCCATGTGCTGCATTTTGGAAGCTATGAGTGATGGATTCCAGCATCCCTACCTTGAAAAAGCTCACAACAGACAGGGGAAGATACTGGTAACACAGATACAGAAGCACCAGGACGCCTTCCAGCTTCGGGTTCTGGTTCATGGTTCCATCACCCTCTTGGTTACATCTGGTGTCCCCTTCCTCAAGTCCCTCCTCCAGTAAGCAGGTCACTACCCCTTTCATCTCAGCAAGTTTCTGTGCTTCAATTTCCTCACCAGAGGATGGAGGTAATAACAGAACTTATTCCTGGGGTACATATGGGAATTAAGTAAGTTAGTATTTCTAAAGCAACTAAAATAGTGCCTGGCACAGAGTGAGCATAATATTCAGTGTTTTGTTAAAATGCTGGGTTAGTAAACAGCCTCCTAGTTTTGTTCGCCTCCTCTAATATCAAACATTCTTGCTAAGACACAAGGCTTCTACCACCTGCCAAGCTCACATTGCCTGCAGTAGTAGTTCTCAAAGGTTAGTTCGCACAAGAATTTCCTGGGGTGCTTGGAAACAATGCAAATGTATGAGCCATTCCCTGAATTCTGCTTTAGGAGGTCTGAGCTGGAGCTCAGAAATCTACATTTTCAACATGTATCCACAAGGGATTTGGGTGTAGGTGGTCTGACACCACAGTTTGAGAAAGAGAGGCCTTCTAGGTAAAGCCCACCTTTAGCATGGCATTCACCGACGCGGACCATCTGGCCCTTGTCCACCATCCCAGCCTCACTGCTCAAAACCCATGCCCTAATCCTACAGGCCAGACCTGCATCAAGAAAAATAAAAAGCCACATTGCATTTCTCCATATGTCTGCTGTGTTACATGAGAGTAGAAAAAATAGCTGAGTTACACCCGGCGAAGTCTCGATGGTCATGCCTCGGGGTTGCCATGGGAACCACATCTGTGTGACTTACCCCAGAGTGAGAGGAAAAGCTGAGAGGGACACACGCACCTTGTTTCTGAGTTTCTGTTCTTTTTCTGAATTGGAGAGACCAGACCTGTACCTGGTATCTAGCTGGATTCCAGGCGTGTGCCACCACACCCGGCTAATTTTTGTATTTTTAGTAGAGATGGGGTTTCACCATGTTGATCAGGCTGGTCTTGAACTCCTGACCTCAAATGCTCCACCCGCCTCAGCCTCCCAAAGGGCTGAGATTACAGGCATGATTCACCACACCTGGCCTCTAAGAATCTTACAATATCCTTTTTTTTTCCTATTTTAAAATCCAAGCACATTTAAAATTTTTTGAGTCAAACCAAAAGAAGTCCCTGTTAATTTTCAGTGAAGAAACCTTCCTTCTTGATGGATTTCAGATCAGACCCATTTTTTTTTTGTATCTAAACCTGACTTCCTCAACCACTAGAAGAGCAAACTCCATTCTCTGCCTGTATGAAGTTGAATAGCATCATTCAACAAGCATGTCGATCCAGAATCTTACAATGTGAACTTATTTGGAAATAGGGTATTTGTAAATGTAATTAAAATATACTTTAAGATGAAGTCATACTGGATTGAAGTGGGCCCTAAATCTAATGTCCTTAAGAAAGAAGAAAAACACACAGAGAAGGAAGTGCTGTGTGAGGTCACAGACACGCAAGGAAGCCATGTTGACAACGGAGGCGGAGACTGGAAAGGTGCGGCGGCAAGTCAAGGATTGCTGGCTTCCATGAGAAGCTAGGAAGAGGGAGGGAAGGATTCTTCCTTAGAGCCTTCTGAGGGAGTATAGGCTGTAGATACCAGGGTTTCTGCCCTCCGGAACCATATGAGTACGCATGTCTGCTGTGTTTTCTTTCTTTCTTTCTTTTCTTTTCTTTTTTTCTTTTTTTTTTTTTTTGAGATGGAGTCTCTCTCTGTCATCAGGCTGGAGTGCACTGGCGTGACCTCAGCTCACTGCAACCTCTGACTCCTCGGTTCAAGGGATTCTCCTGCCTCAGCCTCCCAAGTAGCTGGGACTACAGGTGCCCGCCACCACACCCAGCTAATTTTTGTATTTTTAGTAGAGATGGGGTTTCACCATGTTGGCCAGATGGTCTCGATCTCTTGACCTCTTGATCCGTCCCCGTGGGCCTCCCAAAGTACTGGGATTGCAGACATGAGCCACCACCCCCAGCTGCATGTCTGCTATTTTAAGCCACTTTGTTTGTGGTCATTTGTCACAGCAGGCCCAGGAACAAAGCAGCCCAATGGGCCCCTTCCCTGAGGACAAAGCGTGCATATTCTGCAGGTTCTCAGGTTGATCACTGGACAATCGTCAGGTCAGTTAAGCATGAAAATATCACTAGGATAGCTCAGATAATAGAATACTGTGAAAAGCAGCTTTACTTTTGAATCACAGAATTTCTTTAAGCAAAGTCATTTTGGGCTGGAGTTAGAGTGCCCTGCCGGAACTAAGTCCTTCTTTTGATAACAGCATTCCAGTTTGTTCTAGGGGACTTCTCTCTCCTTATTGTGTGCAGTTTCAGTGGGGTTGTCCCTTGATATCCCCTACCCAAGGAGCTGCCATACGACCTAAGCTTTGCTGCCTCGACTTTTTCTGGGATTTTGTCTTGGACAGAGTGAGACCAGAAGGAAGAGCTGCAGGCCATCCATCAGCTGCTGAGCCCTCAAGGGACTGTCCACCAGGACCTGCTGCAGGATGCTGGGTGTTAACCCAGGTTAACATGGTTAAAACCACGTAGGATAACAATAGTTCTCCTACTGCATCCTCTGAAAGCCTTCCCCTTCTGCTTGACACAGTTTTTATTGCCTGCAACCAAAAACTGTAATGAAGACACTTGCCTGCCTGCACCCAACCCACCCTAAACCCCCTCATCCTCAAAGGCAGAGGGAGGATAGAAGAGAATTCCTGAGAGTGATGAAATGTCACAATTGCCCCCCACCCGCATCCTACACACACGCGCACACACACACACACACACGGTGACATCTGTTGCAAAAGTGCTGTGAAAAATATAGTCATCGTGTTTTTTCCGTGTGCCTTGAATTTAGGTCTTTAATATAAATTCGTTTCAGAAATCAATACAGTGCTAGACAAGTTTCTCATTTCTTCTTTCTACCGGAAAAAACGCATGACCAAACTTGGTGGGTTTTCCTTCTCTCCATATGCGTCTTTTGCTGTAGGTTTAGTGTTAAAGTTTCTACTCAATCATAGTGGCTATATTCGTTACCACTTGAAGTACATTTTCCCCTCTCTTTTTCTGTTGTTTTGATCTTTGGTTTTCACTGAAAACATTTGTTACAAGATCCCTAACGTCTCTTGTAGCAATAGATTCGATGTAAATTATAAATAAATAAATAG